ATTATTAGAGAAAGAAGACAATCCGACGTACCGTTCTCGACTCTTTATCCTAGTCTGAATTCAGTTGCCCCCCCCCTACCTCCCGTGCGGAAGCTTTAAGGTTTCATTAAATTATTAAAGAGAAAGAAGACGATTCGTGATACTGTCTTGTCTGAATTTCAAAAAATTTCTTCGTCTGCTCCTTTTGTTTCCTACGTCCTCTTCCTTTTTTCTCCTCTCTTTTTTGTTTTTTGTTTTTGGCCCGCGTTTCTGGGGGGGATCGCCCCCACCACCCCCACCCCCCCCCAATTCCAAACTGCTTCCGGTGCGCCTGTCCTGGGCAGCATTCCAGCCAGGCGTTACATGACGCTTAAAAACTGTATGACCAACAATGACTGTCGCATCCTACCTGGTACCCATTTAACACCGGGTGGAGAGTAGCAAGTGCAGGTTAATATCTTGCCAAAGGATATTAGTGCCGTGTCGGGATACGAACCCTCGACTTTTTCATCTCCAAGTCAAGCAGGGGATGTCTCTATAAAATTATCAAAGATAGAAGGTATAATATACCTACTTAAAAACAAAGACAATTATTCAGGGCCTTGTGTCGCCCCTCCCCTCAGCTACGCCATAGCCGTGGGGGTGTTTTACATCCAATATTTCCCTTTCCATATTATCAATAGCGACCCTCTGCTCCTATTATGAACAGAGACCCTCATTTCGTATTATGAATAAAGGTCCTTATAGTGACCCTCTTCTCCTATAATAAATAGCGGTCCTTGTGAATAGCGAGCAGACCCCCCCCTCCCACACCAACATTCTGATAATGAATGAAACCACTCTGTAATCAAAACCAGTCCGTTTTACGTAAAACTTTTCCACCCCCATGCTTTATTTTGTTTTATTGAAATGGCAATCAGTCGAGAACTAATTTTTTTCATTCTCTGTTTTATTCGGTTTTTTAAATATATAATGTGAATAACAGTATCCCTCCCTTTCATTTCCCTCCCTTCTCTCTTCTTTATTTTTTGGCGGGGAGGGGGGGGGGGGGGTTCCCTCTTTTCTTCTTATTCTTCTTCCTCTTCTTTCTTTCCTTTTATATTCTCTTCCCCCTTTTTCCTTCTCTCTGTCTCCCCCATCAACATAGTAATAACGAATAAGACCACTCTGTAATCAAGACCATTCCATTTTATTTGATACATTTTCAATATACTTAAATTGGCAACTATTTTCTTCTGTCCCACATCCTCATTACGGTAGATAACTTCACACAGGCGCGCGCCCGAACGCAATCCACCATCATTATGCATTTGTATTGTGCAGCAGTTTGGCGTGAAACTTTTGAAAAAGTGCATACTAAAATCAATGTTTTTCCAAAAAATACTCCCCAAAATACAACAAAATTGACACGAAACAGGTAAGGAACATAACGCCTTTTAAATCATTATCTTTATTTGGACATTTGATTATTTATTCACCGAAATTTGGGGTCTGTTTTAGTAGGCTATATTTTGAATACCTTACTGAATTAGCGCCGGCAAATGACCCCCCCCCCCCAAAAAAAAAAATAAAAAAAAATAAACGAGTGACTGACAATCACAATAAAAAAATATAATCGAAGACGAAGCGATAATGATTAATCAACAGGGAAATTTGGCCCCAGTCTTAATTGGGCAAAATGGTCTATGCAATTGGATGGATAATCATTGATTAAAGCCCCACTGTCCGACTTGTAATGTTGTAGGTACTTGCTCCAGGCGCGGATCCAAGGGGGGGGGGGGGGGAGGGGGCCGACGGGTCCGGCCCCCCCCTGTTTTTTGTTTTTTTTTCGGGGTCAAATACCAAAAAAAAATTATGCATACTACCCCTCCCCCCCACTGAGCGAGATATCGGTAGGCTCAATTTTCACATTTTCGAGGACAAATACGAGAAGAAAAAAAATTAAAATCACTACCCCCCCCCCCCCCCCCCCCACTGAGCGAGATTTTGGTCTGCGCGATTTTCACATTTTAGGCCCCCCTACCGGCAAATCCTGGATCCGCCCCTGACTTGCTCCCTCTACAGGCGCGTACGCGGGGGGGGGGGGGGGGGGGGGGGGGGGGGGGTGTTTGGGGGGGTTAACCCCCCCCCTTGAGTTTTTGTTATGTGTGTATTATATGTGTATTTTTTACCAACCCCCCCCCCCCTTGAAAAAATCCTGCGTACGCCACTGTTCCTCTATATAGAAAACTTCCCCAATCGGTGCCTTTTGGTCCCCCACCCTCTTTTCTTATGTTAGTTGAGAGCTGAGTTAAAGAGATAGCCACCTGTCAGTGACCTCGTTATCGCTGTGTGGTCTAATCCCTTCTGGCCCAGCATTGACGGTCTTTAAATGAAATACATACGCATCTTGCGAGCCTAAGCCCTCTGTTGTCCTTTGAGGGTCAGTTCGTACGATGATGTGATGTCTGTTTGAGTTTATCCTTTCTCGTTTTCGTTCCTGATGTCTATTTGCTTACCGTAAACCCAAACGCCCTCTGTTGTCCTTTGAGGGTCAGTTCGTAGATGATGTGATGTCCTTTTGAGTTTGTCCTTTCTCGTTTTCGTGCTTGATGTCTATTTGCTTACCGTAAACCAAAACGCCCTCTGTTGTCCTTTGAGGGTCAGTTCGTAGATGATGTGATGTCCTTTTGAGTTTGTTCTTTCTCGTTTTCGTGCTTGATGTCTATTTGCTTACCGTAAACCAAAACGCCCTCTGTTGTCCTTTGAGGGTCAGTTCGTAGATGATGTGATGTCTGTTTGAGTTTGTCCTTTCTCGTTTTCGTGCCTGATGTCTATTTGCTTACCGTAAACCATAACGCCCTCTGTTTCTTCTGACCTGTACTTTGTCTATTTTGCTCTGACCTTTGATTTATTCTTTGTTAATTGGTCCTTTCTTCTGGGTACTTTGTCTATTTTGCTCTGTCCTTTGTTTGTTTGTATGCTTCTTTGTTTGTTTGAATGCATCTTTGTTTGTTTTTGTGACTGTTGATATTGGCCCCTTTAGCCGCCCATATTAGTGGGCATTCAGTGGGCTCTGCGGACATAGAAACATACACATCGGTATGAAACGTTCACAGACGGAGCTATAATTCCCCTTGTTACCACAAACTTTTAAGCTAAGACAAGTAAGGATACTGAAATTGTGTGTGCTTGCTGCGTTCATCAGTGAGTTTATCGGATTTCGCACTGTTCGTATCAAAGCGATATTATAAAAAAAACTCTTTTCCTGTTCAATCGTCTTTGTCGATCAGTCAAGCTCCGACTATTGATCTAAAACAAACTAGCACGGATATATCTTGAGAAATAATTTGGATTGACTTAATTCACAGAAGTGGAGGACGCTGGCGCTATAACTCTAATCTCTAAGGTTTACAGATTGTTGTGTTCTTCTTGAAGTGTACCACGATGGAACGCATTAGATTGATCTATAGACTACTTTTTCTTTGCATGGCTGTAATCTTCATGAATATGATATTGCATTTACGAGTACAAGGTAAGTGGACATGTTTTAACAAGCAATAAGTAAATTAAGATTTCAAAATTGTGTGTGTGTGCGCGCGTGTGTGTGAGTGTGTATTTGTTATAAGTGTACACATATCCCTTTTTTCCACTGAAAATGCATGGTAACAATTTTGAGAAAAGAACAGCATGTATTGCGAACATGATTTGGGTAGTAGTTAGGCGCCCGAATATAACCATTTTTATATCGAAATGAAATTTATACCACAACAAAGTGTTTTTTCGGCATCGTTAATTTGGATATCTCGCAAAATTGAGAAATTGAGATAATTCTTTTTACGTTTTATCCAATGTATACTTTGGGCAAGGTTAATCAAGTTTCAAAATGTGGAAAGCTCTCAGGAATTATTCATGCTTTTGCCTTGCAGCCACTTTAGGTAAACTCGTGAAAACAGGGATTTCAAATTGATTATAATTCCCATAGTATTTAATTGGCATTATGCAAAATGTAACTGATATAAAAATGGTAAGAACTTAAAAGATATTACTGAGGCGCAACAAGTCAAATAGACCCCGCTTAGATCAGAGGCATTATGCATGCTTTTGACCACACACAAAAAGGCCATATGCTATGGTAAAGTACTATACCTTTAATAGTACAAATACAATTTACTAGCATTTCCTTGAAATTATGTAAATATGACTCCATAGATCCCAGGCATTATGCATGCTTTTAACCACAAAAAAGAGGCCAGTATTCACTCTCTATCACCGCCTTATATACTCCTGTGGTGACGTGATACATTCCCTTCATCCTTCACTTTCTACCACTGCCTTATATAATCCAGTGGTGACGTGATACATTCCCTTCGTCCTTCACTTTCTACCACTGCCTTATATACTCCAGTGGTGACGTGATACATTCCCTCCATCCTTCGCTTTCTACCACTGCCTTATATAATCCAGTGGTGACGTGATACATCCCCTTCGTCCTTCACTTTCTACCACTGCCTTATACACTCCAGTGGTGACGTGATACATTCCCTCCATCCTTCTCTTTCTACCACTGCCTTATATAATCCAGTGGTGACGTGATACATCCCCTTCGTCCTTCACTTTCTACCACTGCCTTATACACTCCAGTGGTGACGTGATACATTCCCTCCATCCTTCTCTTTCTACCACTGCCTTATATAATCCAGTGGTGACGTGATACATCCCCTTCGTCCTTCACTTTCTACCACTGCCTTATACACTATTACATTATTTTCCACGTATATATTCCACCATGCAAACAATTTGGAAAAATAGATGTGTACTTGAATGAATGAAATATATATATAATTATATACATAGCAAGTTAACAAACTTTTGCTCGCGCGCTTCGCTATCAGCTTGAATATTTGTCCCTATGGTACCCTGCCTGCAACCCATGCTCCTTTTAAAGAACCAATTAATTTCATTCCAACTCAGCTTAATTTAAAAGAAAGTTGATCGATTAAGGACATCAGTAAACCATTGTTCTTTCTCATGATTTATAGATTTCAGGCCATGGCCAAAAAATTCCCAGGTCATATGTGAAAGTGACAGGATCCAACGCCTTCGCAATAATCTTGGTGTCAATAATCCACGAGATGAGGTAAGAACTTTCTTGAAATTTTAATACTGGACAGCACTTGACATCTTAATGTCTTTCGACAAGTCATTAACTCAACCCTTTAAGCTTATTGTCGTTTCTGTCTAACATCAAAATACAAATTAAAGGGAATATTTAATATCCAGTTAAAGGGCCAGCTAACTGACAGCATCTTATCGCTTATTCCACTGTGAAATATTGAATATTTTTCATCTCTTATTTTTTAGCCTTTACAAATTACATTCTTTAATAGTTCTTCCTTAGACGACACAGCTCTAAATATTCATCACATTATCTTTTTGATCTCACTAATCTGACATATCGCATGGCTTAAATATTCTTGTTAATGTGCTATATGTTGAAGAGAGTTTTGAAACACCCTTTTTGTCATATAGTGACAAAATGTTTCGCTAGCTTTTCGCTTTACATTATCCTAACGGAGAATGATAGCATAGAGCAATTCCATATTCCAGAAATAATTTCTGTTTGACATTTGTGTTATTCAATTATTTACTTATTGTTTGTTGATTTTATTTCCGAAATACATATATACATACAAATTAAAAAAACATACATATAAAACACATTTCAAACGATAAGAAAGTAAGTAAATGTGTAAAGTATAGACAAACGGTTGGATAGCCCATTTCAGAACCATTTTCAAAATGGTCCTGTTCTTTCATGGGGTCCAAAAGGAAAAATCATATTAATTTACATACAATATCAATTTTTATAAAAATCATAGTAATTTACCAATACACTACCCCCCCCTTATCGATCCCCCTAACCTCATCACCCCCAACCACCCTCTCGATACTGCCAACCCCTCCCGCTACCCCTTCCCAAGTCCTCGAAGGTATATTATCTCTGTCATAACATTTCAAACTAAACTTTTTATTTCTTTTTTAAACATAGCCAAACTTCTTGATTGTCGAATGTGCATAGACAATCCATTATACAATTTACTTCAGCGATACAGAAACGTACGCTTACAATTCTGTGTTTTCGGTTTAGGCAAAACTAAATTAGTACTACTAAGGGCATAGTTAGTAGTCTTAACAATAAACTTCTCTTTCAAATATACAGGTGCCAAATCGTGAAATATTTTATACATCAAAGTATAACTGTGCCTAACTTGTCTATTTTCTAACATATCCCAATTTAAAATATCATGAATTTCACTAATTGGTTTATGTTCAGATAATTTATATTCAAGAATAATTCTACCTGCCCTGTTCTGTAATTTTGTAACATGTCTACTTGAGACTTAGCGCCCGAATGCCATAACACGTCACCATAACCAAAATGGCATTATTGCGGCATAATATACAAGTTTTAACCTCTCATTAACATAGTTACGCAACCTTCCTAAGAAACTAATCATTTTTTCCAACCTTTTTACATAATTCATCAGCGTGTACATTCCATTATAATTCACAATCAATAAAAATACCAAGATATTCAAATTTGTCAATTTGTCATTTGTCAATTCGCCGTTCTCCACCGTCCGCAGACATTTTCGCGCACGGTGGCACACGGTAGGCCTACACGGCAGAGTGTGAGAGTCACTTAAGGACCGCTATTCATAAGGACCGCTATTTGTAAAGACCACTATTTATAACGTGCAAGTTCCATACCTGAAGGACCGCTATTCATAATAGAATTAGAGGGTCAACATTCATAAAGAAATAGGAAACGTAATTCCTAAGGATCGGTATTCATAATGTGAAATAAGGGTCGCTATTCATAATTTACTTGAGAGTCATTACTCATAAGGACCGCTATTCTTAAAACAACAGGAGGGTCGCTATTTATAAACAAAAGGAAGGGGCGCAAAACATAATTTACATTGGGGGTCACTACTCGTAAGGACCGCTATTCATAATACGAAATGATGGTCTCTATTCATATAACGAGAAGAGGGTCGCTATTCATAATAGGAGAAGAGGGTCGCTATTCATAGGACGAAATGAGGGTGTCTATTTATAATACGAGGAGAGGGTCGCTACTCATAATACTAAATAAGGGTCGCTATTCATAATATGAGATGAAGGTCGCTATTCATAATAGGAGAAGAAGGTCGCTATTCATATTACGAAATGAGGGTCGCTATTCAAAATATGAATTGAGTGTCGCTATTCATAATACGGAATACATGTCAGTTTTTTATTGCTATTATTGCTATTATTGTTATTGTTGTATTTTCTTTGTATCCTCGAATGTTTTTATATATTGTTTATGTTGCATGTATACGTGATTGTCACTCGCCAGTAGTGGACGAATTTCTGTATTTTTTAAATCAGACAATAAATTATCTTGAACCTGGGATGAGGGTCGCTTTTCATAAAAAATAAATAGGCCGTAGTAATAAACAAAATGCTAATAACAAAGGAAAATATTGGATGGAGGACATACCCAACGGCTGTGGCGAAGACTTTTTTCTGGGGGGGGGGGCGACATATGACCCTGATTTTTTTTATTAAAAAAAGGTATATTTTACCTTTTATCTTTCATAAATATATAGAGACATCCCCCGCTCCAGTGGTGACGAAAAAAAGAAGTAAAACTGAACACACATATAATCCTATCGTAATTTGTCCTCCTTGTGGGAAATCTTGCCCCACCACCCTGTCCCCTACTGATTATCATAGTGATCATAGTTATATGTTTTTAGAGCAAGGTTTTGTTCCTCTGCAATCGAAAATGTCTCGTGTTATTCCAGTTTTAAAATCGGGAAAAAGTCTGATATGACAAATTTAAAAACCAATATCGATTCTCTCGGCGATAGCTAAAATTGATGAACAATTGGTATTTGATGAACTTTACGCTTAAATGGATCACAACGGATTTATAAGTTGCAATCAATCAGGTTTTCGACCAAGACACTTTACAATGACACCTCTATTTAACGTCACGGAAGACGGGCTTGGTAGTTTAGATAAAGGTAATCTTGTAGGAGTAGTGACCCTTGACTAAAAAAGGCCTTTCATACAGTTGACCACTCAATTCTTTTGAATAAGCAACGATTTATTGGCTTGAATGTATCGTCATTACAGTGGTGTAGAAGCTACTTAGCCAATCGCATTCAATATACTTGTGTAAATGGAATTTATTCCAATTCACGTAGTTATTTATCTTTATTAATGATGTGCCTTTATGTCTCAAAAAACAAATATTTGTATATGCTGATGATACGTGTCTATATTACGCTAGTGCAAATCATCAAACTCTTACGGAATCATTAAATGCAGACTTATTACTTATTGATATTTGGTTAAGAAGGAACACACTTGCTTGAAATGTGAACAAATGTGACCTACTTTTTTATTGGAACGAAGAAACGGCTAAAAAATATTGTATATACCAGTTGTATACATACAAAATGTTTCTCTCAAACGTGTAACCCACTGTAATAGTTATTGAATATCTAAGTAAGAAGGTATTACAAGATTATGTATTAGTTGAAAAGACTTAGACCATATGTTACACAGCAAACTGCACTCATATTTTTTAAATCCGTAATTCAATGTAAGTTTGATTACTGTAGTGCAACTTGGGGGAATGCCGGGAAAGGTAGTTTAGAAAGTTTGCAAAAGCTACAGAATAGGACACTTCGGTGGTACTCCAAGTTGAATGGAGGTTCCCTAGCCGAGATTTATTTCTTTCTTTGAAAACAGAATATCTATCACAACGGAGAGACAAACATGTTTTATATATTTTTTATAAAATTGTTCATGAAATGATATCTGGTGGGTTTAAAAAGTACTTTGTTATTAAAGAATATCACCATAGCTTGAGAAATGCTCATAAAACCTTAGGACTGCCGAAACCACATATGAATTCAAGAAAAGGAGCTTATGTTATTGAAGCATTAAATCTTGGAATCAGCTACCTATGAACGTACAAAATATGTCTTTCTCTGTATTCAAATCAAGTGCAATATAAATAATAATTTTATAAAATGCAATTTTATTGTTTGAGTTTTATTATATTTTAAATAACAGATAATATTAATATTTCTTACGCTTAAATATATATGTTTATAAGTAAAAAGTTAAATTAAACGCTGTTTGGAAAAAATACTGGCCGATGGGGAAAGGGGGTGGATAGTAATATCTTGGTTTGTACATTTTCATTTTTATTTGTATACTTACACTGTCGCTCATAACGTTGGAATATTTTTTTTTACCCCAATTCATGGAATTATTATGACAATGATTTATTCCAAAGAGATCTAGATAATAGTAAACATTCTCAGATTTTATTGAATTATAATTTGCCAGTGTTTGTTTTGCGTAACTGCTAAAGCATGTGTATGCTAATATGCTTATCAACTATGGGACCTACGTCCTTAAGTCATAAATGACAGTAATGAGGATTAATGCCCCACGAAAGGGCACTTATATAGCACATCGACACGGTTTTGATCCTGGGGCCTCACAGTTACGAGGCCATTGCTTTGCCACTGAACCATGACTATACGCAGCGGGGGCTAGGGTAGGGGGCAGTTCCCACAAATAAAAAAATGTAATAAAAAATCCAACAAATTATCAATAATTCATTGAATTCCTCCCCCCCCCCGCCCGTCCCCAAAATATTTTTTTCTTTCTGTGTGCCCATGCCTTCAGCCATAATGCATGGCCGTACAGAGGATTTGTTTATTTTGGGACCGGGGTAAAGTGCATTATGAATAGAGACCCTCTTCTCATTTTATGGATAGCGACTCTCAGGCTTTTCTCGTATTATGAATAGCGACCCTCTTCTTCGATTATAAATAATGACCCTTATGAATTATGACCCTAATGAATAGCGACACTAATTTCGCATTATGAATAGCGACCCTCTCGTCGTGTTAAGAATAGATACCCTCTTGTCGTATTATGAATAGCGACACATCTCCGTATTATGAATAGCGACCATCTTCTCGTATTAAGTGATGTATTTGAAAACGGTCAATGGGTGTCATGCAACACTCTCTTCGAACGTTTGGGTACAAGTTCTTTATTAGATAGCTTCAAACTTTCAAAACTAAAAAGGGCTTTTCCAAAAGTATGGGTAGAACAAATAAGAAATACCAATTTTAATCCAATTGCAACAGAAGTTGTTGAAGGAATGTTTTATATATCGAAATGCGACTTGATTAAATTAAGTCTCATGAAAGCAAACACTTTTATATTCTTTTGAATGAGTTCAAAAAAGAAAATCCTCCGGTGTCATTGTTTTGGCAGGAAATACTGCAACTACCAATCAATTTTGAGTGGAGTCATGTTTTAGATTTTAAATTAAAAAAGATCAAAGACAACAGAGTAAGACAATTTAATTTCAAACTGCTTCATAAAGTTTTACCCTTCAAAGATAATCTTTACAAGTGGAAAATTACTTCTGATATGCTTTGTACATATTGCAATGAATCAGAATCGTTTATACACATTTTGCTAAAATGTCGCCAAGCCGCAGTCTTTTGGCAAAAAATTCTTCATCTGGTAACGAACTTGTTCCAAAAAGATATTGAGTTAGGAGAAAAGATCATATTAATTGGTTTCAACATTGAAGACCCGGAGTTTCTGCTCATGAATGTACTAATTGTTTACGCACAATATGCAATTTATAAGGTGTATATACTTAATCATCTTAGAAGTAAATCCTTCAATAGTCATTCAATTTGGATGACTTTCAAAAGCGATTTTATGTTTGATGTCAATTGGCAATACAGAAACCAAGAACAATTAATAAATAATATCAAGATGAATCTTTCTTAGTTGAACCTTTAACGCATTTATATTCATGCCTTGATCTTTCCCTTCCACTTTCCTTATGTTTCCCCTATTTTATTATATCAGTTTGTTGATTGTGTATATATATATATATTGTAATTAAACTCTATATGAAATGTTGTTAAAATGATATAAAGTAATAAAGTGCCTCGTATGAGGAAAAGAGAAAAAAAAATCTTCTCGTATTATGAATAGCGACCCTTTTCTAGTACAATGAATAGGGACCCTTATGAATAACGACCCAGATTTTGAATTATGATTAGCGACCCTCTTCTCATATTATGAATACCGATCCTCTTCTTAGATTATGAAAAGCGGTCCTTATGAATGATGACCCTTTTCTCAAATAATGAATAGCGGTCCTTAAGAATAGCTGTCCTTATGAATAGCGGTCCTTACGTATAGCGGTCCTTATGAATAGCGGTCCTTATGTATAGCGGTCCTTATGAATAAGGGAGTTTACAGATAGCACATGGTACAAATGACCCCAAATATCCACAGATCTTTTACACATGGAGAAGTTCCACTTTGAGCATCTTAGAATAATAACTGCCAAAGTCCTAGATGTGCTTCATGAATACCTTTTGTTTGCCCTTTTGAAAAGAATACTTCCACCTGCGTATCATAGAATGTACCGTTGGTGCATAAATGAATAATGTTACATAACTTTCATGAGCGCATATCCAGTATTCATCTCTGTGGGTTTTACCATTTTGGTACAAATGACCTTTATTTGCCCATGCGCAGATTGTATCTGTAAACTCCCCTATAGCGGTCCTTATGAAAAGCGACATTACCCCGCTTTCAGAACGGAGTACCGCCGTTCAAAAATTTAAACTAGCCTTTACCTAGTAATGCAGAACAGGCGTTTATAATAATTAAATCAATCAAAAGCTCCCCCCCGCTTATCCCGAAAGGGTGCGTTAGGGCGGTACTCCGTTCCCAACGCCCCCTTTCTAGACATGCGGGGAGGGGGGGGGGGGGGCTTTCCTCGAAAGTCGAAAGGGTGCTTTGGACGCACCACACCGCGCCGCACCGCATCCTTTTGATATAAGCCCCCCCCCCCCCCCTTTGCCAAGTTCCGTCTCTGCCATTTAGCTTCTTTTGCTATTTATGTTAATTGAAATTTTGATATTTGCACTCTGCTGTTTGTATTTTTGACACTGTGATTTTAATTTTTGTTATCCTTTATCAACATTTTTTTTTGAACGATAATACATGTTTCATTTCTAATCAACAAATTTGATTTTAAAAGTAATGTTTGAATTTGCCTTTGATCCCGGGCCCCAGGCATCATCCCATAATCTCAACAACAATTTGATGTAATTGCCTCCTGGCGTCTCCAGTCCATCCAGCGTCTAATTGTCTTGGAGACTTCTATACACACCTCATCAGCTAGGTGTATTTTCTCCCATTTGCAAACGTTGCTTATATACTAGTCAGCTGTAAGAATAATAAGAGAGTGAAAACAAAAGTAAGCTCAGACATAACTGAGAAAAACGGGGAAATAATTATTCTTCCTGTAGATGTCACAAAATCATTTTTTCTTGCAGTTTCCTTTTTAAAACAGTGCCGTTTTTTTACTCGCCCTATCGGCAGACACAGTTGAAAAATATTGATTTTTCATATATTTTTGCCAGGCTCATGGACTGTGGCTACATGTTTAAAAGAGTACTACTAACATGTCTGATATTAAGAATACTTCCACCCTGTCTTTGCTAGGTGCAGCATTCGTCGCATGGAATTAGGACACCTCAACTTTGGACCAGACCTAATGAGAATGAGTTGGAAAAAGCTCTTGTCCTGGGATCAAGGCGAAACTTATCAAGTAAATAGATAGTAGCCTAGAAGTGTTCTGTGTAGGGACTGTCAAATCATGTCTTACATACGTTACCGACTTCATATTAGTGTTTTGTGTATTAGTTAAAAATATGGCATTATAAAACCCCCTTCAAGATCGCCGCGGAAATTTGCACGCATGTCAAGTGAAGTGTATAGAATAATATGATAATTTCAATTTTTTTAAAAATTCACTCATTTGCATATTTATGGTAATTTATGCAAATAAAGTCATAACAATAACATTTTTACCCATAAATAATATATTATTCATATTTAAGCACTCTTTTTCACTACATATATTCATTAGACCATTATGAATAATAATACAACAAAAATATTTGGAAGAGCCGGTTAATTCCTTATGTTATCCCTTGTTTTGATAATTTCTTATGTATTTCATTGTTTTGATAATTTCTTATGTATTTCATTGTTATGATAATTTCTTATGTATTTCATTGTTTTTGTTGTTTTATTTCATTTCTTACTACAATTCAACTATTTTGACTCCCATAACAACCACCTAAACTTTAAACAAGACCAAATAACCCATGTTTGATCTGTTTTTAGGAACAATGACTTTTCCATATGTTTTGTACACAAATCACGAAAATGAGCGATTTTCGGGCTGCCATGCAAAGACAAAAGGTCACGTGACCTTGTAACCGTAGATACGATTTTCAAAACAACTCTTTTAAAAGTTGCGCAAGACACGATAGAAAAAAGTCAGCGAGCGGCGGGGCGCCATCCATATGCGTTCCCGAGCAATTGAAAAATCGTGGAGGGGGGGGGGGGCATAATGGCCCCCGGCCTTATTAGGGTTAATGGGTTTAACCTGTATGCTAAGCTTAACGAGTACTCATTAAAAAAGTGTAGACTGAATTAAGTAATTAAGTAATTAATAATTACCTGGTAGATTTATCGATGTCTGTCATAACTTAATCACAATTATAATTAAATAAATGACACATAGTTGTAAAGCTTAGATCCTCTTCTTTCATTTGATACAACTCATATGATGCATATTTCACGCATGATTGATTAAAAACAATTTGAAGAGAGGAAACCAAAAAAGTCATTTGGCGGGCGGTATCTGATTTTCAAAGAGAAAATAACATTTCCAGAAAGTTCAATTTCTGCCCTTTCTTATGACACCTCAATCAGGAAAAATGAGCCAGGACTAACAAAGTTCTATTTGTTTAAAGTTATGCTTGCATTTCCATAAATTGATTAAACGAGTTCATTTTAACTGGCTGCCTGCAGTAGCAACAAACAGAGTTGACAAAAGACTTTACTCCATTTTGTTGACGATCAGTCATGCACAAAGAAGACGAAAGACTTGATGCATGGCTGATAATGTGATAACCCCATATTCTTTAATAGTAAATCATACTTTTATGTTGTGCCATATAAAAATACAACAGTATAAAGACTGAATAATCCTGGATCAAGTGAGTTACAAGTGAGTTACATCATAATAATAATAATAATAGCCTAATAGTCCACTCCAAATTTTAATAACCGAAACGGAAATTCTTTTTGCCCAATTGATCGTGAGCCCGGCAGCCACTGAGCAGCGCCAGATCGACGTTGCTCTATCCCTAATATTGCTGAACGCCAAACAAGGTAGCAACAACTCCCATCTTTTAACGTCTTTTGGTATGACGCGGCCGGGGTTCGAATCCACGACGTCCCGGTTATGAGGCGGACGCTCTACTGACTGAGCCAACACTCATGTGTGTAATATCCAACTTTCAAATGTATATCAAACAGGTTGGGCTGAATAACATCAAATACGAAGATTTTAAACTATCTACTATAAAATGATGAATAATACAAAATATGTATTACTTAAATGAATCAAAATGAGACATCTGTTATTCAATCATATATGGTGTTGACAATGATGTAGAATATACTAAGTATCGTCAATTTCATTGTAAAAGGAACCGCTATAGAAACAGCTCAATTCCGTATTTAATAGACCTGATGAATGCATGAATGAATCACCATTTACACTTTTCCATTTGTCTTAATTTTCTACCTGTTGAATGGTCCGGAATCTCATCGTCTGCTCACATTTTACATTTTATGCTTCCTTTCACTTGTAACACCTTTTTAAAATGCATAAATGTATATTAGATAGTGATAAGGTTTTGTAGCAAACATGACATGGCAATTCAGATCAGATGGTGTTCAATATTTTAATTCATGAACGTATTTTGCTCTCATGTGTGAAGGTCGGGAGGGTGTTCTTTTTGTTGTTTTGTTTACATTTTGAAATACCCAACACTTCATGACACAGGAGAAGTCCAGGGATGGGAGAGCAGACCTCAGCAAGGGTATCTAGAACTTTTGTATGGTCAGGATGGGAGTGTGTATATAGTGTGAATGTGAGTGTTTATGAGAATTTGTTTGTTTGTTTATTTTATTTTAGCACGGTGGCATACTTCAGCCAGTGGCTGTTCTTTAGCATGGCCGTGCATATTACAAGCAATCACAATTTTACAAAGAAACATACACTATGGATTTACATGATTTACATACAACGTTAAATACACCTCCTCGCTCAAGCTATTTTCGTCCTACACCAGTCCCCCGAATGTCCATAATAATGGGACTTAGCAGTGGCGAATATGGGGATGCAAGGGGCACGTTCTTATGGCAGCCTTTGCAGAGACACAAAAATGCGCAAATGGTGGGGGAGCCATAGGCTCGAGTTTCCTCCCTCGTGTAAAGGCTCCCCTGTCTCATTCGTTGTGATAGGCTATAGGGTAATATTTCATTTTTACGCCCTACGGTAATTTTCCTGGTGATCTATAGTTTTGTATTAGACCCCCTTGTACATTCAGGGGCGCACTTGAAACACTCGGGTGCTTGTTTCCTTAAACCCCAACAAATTTGACCGATTACATAGTCTAAAAAATTGTTATTTTTTGGCAATCAATAAATTGGAATCAATAAATTCTCCAAATGCTCAAAATGGCCTGAGACGTATGCAAAAAAATTTTGGGATGATTTAGAGCATTTTAAATTTTTGCGCGCACGTAAACGCGCGGATGAACGCGCACGCGCGCATTTGCGCACGTTTATTGGCCTGAAATTGACCGGACGGATATTGATCTTAATCGTGGTAAATATGAATGAAAAATTTCTTTCCGTTATGAAGATATGATCATAAGTTGATTTTCACAAAATGGCGCCTGGATGACGTCACGATGACCTTGACTCTCTGAAAAGTCACACAGTTCTAAGTTAGACTAATATCTATCATCATGGCAAGTTTAATGATAATGGCTTAATTCAGTCTTGAGATATCCTGCGAACAAATTCGAGGAAGAAGAAAAAGAAAAATCTTGACGAAATCAATAGGTGATACGTAGACTTCGTACGTATCACCTAACTAGACTTTAATTCGTCACTTTGACGATTTAGGTGATACGTAGCTATTTTTATATCATGAAAGTGTGCTGATAATGATCTAATGATAATATTCATTAAATCGATAATGACGATATTTGATTTGATTTGATTTGATTTGATTTATTGGTTTCTGCATCTTTTTTCTTTTTTTAATCATACATTTTCATGAACATAATATGGTTTGATACAATATTTAATGTGTATATAATTTTAAACAGATAATAAACGAATTTAAGCAAATATATTGAATGCATAATTTTTTGGTTTTAAATGACGATGACCATGATTAAAAGTGGTATAGCGCCCCCTTTAGGTATTTGATAGAGAATTGTTATATGATTAATCTATTAATTTACTAAACAAGCTAAAATTTTCGCCTGATTGCAGAGCCTACCAATCATTGAACTGATATTTCGACGCACTACATACGCAACATAATGAAGTCTAGACTGGAATGTAGTATCAATCACCTTCCATAGGCATAACGCGCATATTAAGCAAAAATCTGACATGTGTCGCCTGTAATCACAATTTTCACTAAAATGACGTCATCAAAATGAATAAATATTTGTAGTGATCTTGTGGAGAATTGTCTCAGCTACAACGTATCAAAATTTAGAAGAAAATTGATCAATATTTACAGAGATACATTCGATTTCCCATAAATATGCTGACGTCATAATGTGCGTATTCGTATTTTGACTTCCAAGGCTATTATAATGACGTCACGATGTACTTAATGGCCGAATAAGACATGAAATCATATCTCCTACTCATACTCTATCCAAATATGAAAAAAATAATGGGGAGTCTCTAGGCATCCCAAAGAGCTATAATGGACTTTTTATAGGCATGTTTTTGCCAATATATGCTATGTATTACAAAACACGCGCATACGCCTTGAACAGACACTCATTCCGTTATTAATAGTGATAAAGAGATAAACATTGTATCAAATTGTTCAGACAAATATAAGGAATATCCTGTCAAAAAGAATTGACGGGTAATTATTTTGCATTCGGCTGTGACGGACGAAAACGCGCGAAAATGCGCGTTTGCGCGATTTTTTATGAAATGCATATAATGGCATGAAACGTATGCAAAATGAATTTAAGATGATTTGGAGCAATTAAAAAATTTGCGCGCGCATTGACGCGCGTACATACGCGCATTCGCGCATTTCTTAAACTGATATTGATTGGACGGATATTGACCTTGATCATGATAAATATGAATGAGGAAAGACTTTCTGTTATGAAGATATGATCATGAGTTGATTTTCTATATATATCTATCATCATTACAAGTTTCATGATAATAGCTTAATTCATTCTTGAGATATCTTGTGAACAAATTCGAGGAAGAATAATAAGAAAAACTAGACATTAATTCGTCACTTTGACGATTTAGGAGATACGTATGCTAATGATTTACATAATGAAGAACGCATTTTCGCGATGTCATATTGTTATATAAAATGCTTCTCCCATTATTATCTATCCATATGTCAAGTGTCTACTGTTTAGCCTTGATCATTATGGATGTATGGAAGATATATTGAGATAA